CATACGATGTGCTATATTAAATAGTCAGTAAAACATTGCTTTGCTGTTTAAAAGCGGTAATTCATTTAGATTACCTTTTATCAATGCTGTTCCTGTTTTATAGAAATAGAATCAAAATCAAATGTGGGAGGAGTAACTCTAAGCATTACAAAATGAAGAAACTGTCTGTAAAACTCTCATTTCTAACATATTAAAGAAAATCTTCTCCAGTGAACACTAACCGCGGGGGGACAGGCCTCCAGATCAGTGGCTCCATCTCCGATCATCACCACCCTTTCGAAGCCGTGCTGCTCCTTCAGCATGCTGATCACTTTCCCTTTGCCGCCGCTCTCTGCTGTGGGCTGAGTTTCGTCAAAACCGGCATATTCACCTGCAAGTTCAGTTGGAAGTTAGAAACCGACAGAAAACCTGGAAGAGCTGAATAGACTGAGACGAGCACTAGACGGCGCGAGCCGGTTCTCACCATTAAAGTAGAACTTGAGTCGGTTGGCGTAGACGTGTTGCAGGGGAATGTTTAGCTGGGAAGCCACGTGTTCGACGATACAGCGAAAGCCACCGGAAATGAGGAACACCTTTATGTTGCGCTGGTGCAGACGGTCCACAAGCTCCCTGGACAAAAGTTACAATTGATTTAATTGATTTAGAGTATTTGGATCTGAATGAAACAGAAAAAATCAATCGATATGCCTCAGCATGGCTTACTACAACTTTAGAAGTGAGGAATTTTCTACACACATTTTAGCTGTACATTTTTGAAAGATGTCCACATTTACCTCAAAGAATTAATGGAACATCATTAGTGTTCAAAGTATAAAATTCATTGATACTTGTACTCACTTCAACTTTTTAAGTACTTTTTGGGCTTTTGGTTTGTTTTAAAAATATATTTCTAAATTGGCTCCAAATGTTTTGAACTATCTATGTATCATCAACAAGAGCTGAATAGATTAGCGGACCCAAAATGGTTTCTTTGGATCCTCAATAACTTGTGTAACTACACGGTACCTTGACCGCATGGATTTCTTCACAATGTTAAACTATAAGACGCAGATAACTGCCATTACCAGGAAGGGAAATATGGGCTAAATTTACCTGGACTGGGTGACAGAAAAAATCCAAATCATATCAGGACAGCAACAACAAAATACCTGCATACTATATATATATATATTATATATATATATATATATATATATATATATATATATATATATATATATATATGTAACATCCAGTTTGCTTTTTACACTCGTATCCAATGCTTCTGCATGCAGAACAAAGTCTGCTGAATTGATTTACTTTATCAGCTCTCCGCACACTTACTTTATGCCTGGAGTCAGCTGAGGCGGGTGATCCGTTATGAGTTTGTTTACTTGTTCTCTGGAACATCGGATGATGGACAGGCGCTCGGTGAGGGCCTTCTTGAACGTCATCGAGCCGCCCATGGCTTTACAAGTCCTAAAATGTCAAATTGGATTTGTTTCATATCTACTAAAATGGTTCATTTTAGGAAGACGGAGTAAAAAAATAAACATACAAATGTGTTGAGGACAGAACGTGAACAGAAGCGGCACCTTGCAGAAATATCCTGTAAACTTTTGCACATTTTCTTGAGAGATGTGAATGAAAGATATGTGGGAGTGTTTGTACCTATTATAGCACTTTTGTCAACTTCAACGTTTTTTTTTTTACATAAAACAAATTTGTATTCATAGTATTGGGATTTTAATGGGATTAATTGTGAGGTTGAAGAAAAATGATTTGAGGTTTTCAAACAGTTTTACACTTACAAAATCTGGAAACTGGTGTTACGTTGCATTCAACCTCCTTTCCTTTGAGATATCTAAAGAAAATCCAGAGCAAGCTGTTGCTACCTAACTATGCAATTAGAAAAAAGAAAGTCATCGCTGAAGGTGAGCCGTGACGAGAGCGGTCCAATTTGCAGTTTGCCACAAGTGATCTGATCAGACCAAACAGGTGATCTTCCTATACAAAACTAAATGTGTTGAAAACTAACTGCACATCAACCAAATGCTGTTGGTGGTGACATCATGCTGTGGGCACAGCTTTCTACAGTAAGGACAGGGATGCCGGTCAGAGTTTAACTTTCTTGCATCTGGAAGAAAACATGTTAGACGCTGTGGAAGACTTAAAACTGGTACAGAGTCCAAACTACAGAAATGCTTTGTTGAAACAAACTCGTGTTAAAATTGTCTTGTCACTGTCCAGGCCGAAATCTAATTTAGCAGCGGCGGAAAGACTTAAACGTTGATGCCAAAGAGAAAGTCCCCATCCAATTGAGGGGTCAAAGAACATTGAATAAAGGAATCAGTTAGGATGTGCAAAGCTCCTAGAAGCATACTCCAATGATTTGTGGCTCTCAGGTGCGGCTCGCACTGAAAGGTGCAAAATAAATAAATGATAGCTTTTCTTCCTCTTCTGTGTTGCGGCATCTGTTGCAGTAGCATGGCGGAATGTGGAAGACCTAAAGGAGTTGAAGTACTTCTGCAAAGGCGTGCGTGAAAAGCGGCATACGTACATCTCTCTGACCGCGTCGCCCACCCCACAGAATTTGGCCAGCTCATCGATGCCTTCTTCTTTGATGACTGTGCTGTCCACGTCGAAGCAGACCGCGTCTGCTCTCCTGAAGAGCTCCTTCGCCTCCTCAACAGTTGTCATCGTGCTGGGGAGGGAGACAAAAACTCAACAGGAGATGAGCAGCAGTGCCATTAGGCCTGGTCATCCAGACCGGGGATGTCAGATGACATGAAGAGCTAACACTGGGAAGTCATCTGGGCGGCCTGTGGCTGTGTTGTTGGCTTAAGGGGACATCATCTCTTATGCCTGATTTCCTCCTGCATGCTGAGGGCGCCGTTTCTCCGCTGGAGCAGAAAACGCAGCTATTGACTGAAATACCTATAATATGTGTGCAAAACTGCGCGTCTATCCGTCGAGTCTGCAAGACAATAGTCTGAACTGGAAAAGGCGTTGACGGTCGTTAACAATTAAAGAAGCCGGGAGGACTGGTGGATGGACATCTTCTGTCCCTGTTGCATCACCCCAGTGCGGCATGCAGACCACTAAAGGTTCTCCCACAGAACCCGCAACAACACAGGAAAGAATAACACTCGCGAATGTTGCTGCAACCATTACGCTTCTTGTGTAACATATCGAAACTTTCGTCGACGCGGAGAGTCTCTGGAATGTTTTTCCGTTTGTATACGAGGGTTGACTTTTACCTACAGCCCCCAGCCCTCCTATTGCAACAGCAAGCAGTAATAAGCCACGTAACCCCGCGCCACAACACCGGAGTGGTCATAAATACGGAATATTTGCGTTGCTCTTCATACATACCGAGAAAGAAGGGGGTTGATGAGGCGCGAGAGCGTTGGCCGCTTCAACATGAGCCGACTGGGACCGCTCTCAATGGGCTCACCGACCAGGAAGAGACGAGGACGGCTGACCAATCAGAGAGAAGCCGACAAGGTTCCCGCCCGCTGGCTCGCTGCCATGGCGACCCCCAACCGTTCGTTGGTAAAACCGGAGAAACGTGTGAAACGGTTGGAAACATCTGCGAGGCATATTGTCAACTGAAGTAAACAAAAATAAACTCAAGTACTTCAAAATAAAAATTTTTCATATGCATTTGTCGTCAGCGTGTTGTTAATGCAGCTTGATTTTAAGTGAAATCCCGGGAGCCATGTTGTACATTTTGTAATTCTCTTGTAGTTCTTTTGTAGTTCTTTTTTTTTTTTCATGTATGGCTTCAACTGTTCTTTCACCTCCCAGTCCCCAGTTGTAACCAAGGGAATAACAGTGGAAATTTCCACTAAAAAAAAGAAGAAAGTGAACCGTAGGGAGGTATTCAACTCCCAGGTGTTGTCTTTGATAAAACATTTTTGCTGTCCTTCCAAAAACCTTGCCACAACGGGTTCACTGGAGTTTGATGGCCACTCGAAAATAAGGACCTCTTTGCATCTGACTTTCTGGCAGATGTCTTCAATATCGTGATTCAATGATTCCCAATAACAACAACATGTACTTTGTGAAGTGCACCCGTTGTTCTTGCAGCAGCCGATCCGTTTAAGATGATTCCACCACTCCTGAACATTTGGGATGGGCCCAAGTTATCATGACTCTCTTCTGGGCAAACTCGAAAAAGGCTTCACCTGTGAAAACCTTATCTTTCCTTCTGTGGCTTCAGTCAAATTCAAGTTGGTGACCTTCAAAGACTAAAATTGCACATGTATTTAGTATTTAAGTCAACACAACTAATGTGTCATTAATTTCACAAATAAATCAAATTTGTATTTTGTTGTTGTTTTTTTGTCAATCAACGATTCATTGTCTTTTGAGTGCAGAGAGTCACAAAAGGGTTTTGGGTCGCATTAAAATCTTTTACAACACAAGCCTCTATTGAAGCATTTCACTCCCAACGTTAAGAAATAAGTTTAGTAGTAGTATCTTATTATGATGAGATTTTCTTGTACCAACAAGATACTCCTCCAAAATTTATTTCCAAGCTCTGGCCGTCAAACACTTTTATAATTCTCTGCTTTGTTTCTTTTTCTCCCACCACCCCCAGTCTTGTTTATTCATTTACCTTTCACATGGACTTCAACCAGACTTGTTGGTTTCCTCTTTCTCCTCCAAACATAACCCTTTCTACTGTGGATGGTTCGATGATTCGATCACGTAGTCCATCGTTCTGGCATTTTATCAAATGAAATGACTCGTAATCTCAACTGACCTAAAACAAGCAACGTTTCAGCCGATTTAATGTTTTACAGGACATTAAAAATGTTTTTTAAAGGGTATGCCATTCTGGTTATAATAGGATTCAACCTGCTTTCGAGAAAAATGATTTATACCCTATAAATCTATGGTTGTAATCGCATTCAGACTGCTTTGCTGTCTAGGAAACCTTTTTTTAAGTACTTGCAGTTTTGGTTCTGGATTAGTGAGGGGCGCTGATGAGCTTGTTGTCGATTAGAACAACCTCAGAAGAAACGTTCTGAAGCACAGAAGAAGAAGAAGAAGAAAGATGCCGATGGGCCACGTCGGTTAAGGTGAGTAGGAAGTAGGGTTAGAGGTAAAACCTCGTGAAAATCAGGTATTGTTCAAAGACAGAGGGAAACACGAACAGATGGCTCGGCCTCATCCAGATCATTATAAGTATTTTAACTGCGTGGTACAGCTAAAATTCCTCATTTCTGGTGGGAATGCGGGCACGGGACGGGGCTCTTGACGGTTGGAAATGCATCATGGGGTGACGATAGCGTGTCTCCTGTGACTGTATGTGTTTATGGTGTTTACGGATCGGCAAATAGTCATAACGTTGCCGAGCATCATTTTCTCCTGTGATGCAGGAGGAGAGTGAAGCCGGTGGCCTGATGCCAGCCATCAGCCAGGCTACAACAGATGCTACAACAGATGCTACAGCACGTGAGGAGGGGGGAGCAGGCATATGGTTCTGGGTTGATGATGAGAGTCGATTCAAGTCCCATCTCTAAATGAAACCGGCTTGTAAATGGTATGCGCAGGTTTTGTTTTAAATAATCAGCTTTTCTGCTGTTAAACTGTACTAATGTCACGAACAGGAAAAAATGAAGCAGAAGTGCTGCCACATTGTCAGCATTAATGCCACAAAGAGGAGAGCGCGTTTGTGAAAAACGTGGACTGTGTTGTATTCTATAATCTACTTTAAGTTCAATTTTCTCCCAACAATTATAGCTGGTGTTGGTCGCGCGCCACGATTCAGGAGGCAGCACATGCGCACACGTGTTTTCCCAATACTGCCCTCGTGTGGCAGCAGTGGGAAACACCACAAGGGAGCGTCACAAAACGCATTTTGGAAGCTTTTGGTTGTTTTTTTCCGGCTTTTCCGCTAAGAATTTGTGCCTGCAGAACCTCACGTAATACGTACCTTAAGATAACTTCGTTTGTTTATGAACTGCCACTTCACCACGGGTGTCATGAACTTTACAAGACGATGCATGGTGAAACATATAGAATCCATTGAGTCCAAATTCATGTCGTATCAGTCTGATTTATTCCATTATAAAACAATAATAATCAAAAAATATTGGGTGTGAACAATGTGGCATCACTATGTTTTTAAGGTAGTGTAATGGTTTGCTAAACTGCTAGGATGGCTGTTCAAAGATCTTTTTGTATTTTTTTTTAAAGGATAGTCTAACATCCACGCACCAAGCATGCTTTGAGTGCTTTAGTTCTTTAATCTTGTTGAATTGTCACCACAGAACATGTTACTAGCCTCAGTGCGTTTAAAACCGCATGTTTATAGCATGTCTCTGGATGCATGGCCGAATTCTGTGTTACTTTGGATGTAGTAAATACAGTCAGACACCATGCTAAATTACCGCTCTCACAAACTGACGCGACAAGATCAGAGTGGTCATTGTGTCCCTCGTTCTTACGTCAGAGTGACGACACGTTGAAAACCTTGGATTTAAAATCTCTGTTTGTTTACTGACACAATCAGTGAGGCTTTCCCTACAGTCTGCTCTGCTTTTCATTCGTCAGAGCCCTGCAGCATTTGATTGAGCTGTGCCACACCCGGCGGCTGCTTCAACTGACCCGACCTCCTCGCAGGACGGTATGTTTTACCCTCGCCGTTAATGTTTTACCCTCGCCGTTAACGGTCACGCACGTCGCGCGATTATTCAGATCAGTGGAAAGAAAAGGTGACCCGTAGCGTGGCTGAATTCTGCTCCAGCTGGGCTCTGTGCTGGACACAGTCAGACACCATGCAACAGCCTCGTCTCATTTCTGCCAAAAAACAAAAATCACCTGGGCAACTGCTTTCCTCAGCTTTGTCTGGCTACGCAGGAATGAGTACAGTGATGTACTTGACGTTCATACAGAGCCCTGCATGGGGAGTTTTTTTTTCTTTTGCGTTCCCTTGCAATAATCTATTGATCAGTTATGCGACATAATTGAATACTGTAAGCCTTTCTTACGATGGCCCCTGTACTTTCTGCTTTGATATAAGATATGTCAGGTTTTTCCATGAATGTTAATACCTGTTTGTGAAATATCTGAAGTTTCATATATTTTCCTTTAGGATAGAAAGTCACCACAAACCTATGATATAAACAGAAACGTTCCATAAGTAGGAAAGAAATAAAGATTAATCTTAATCATTCAGTCTACAAACACAATCAAAACTGTTAGATGACTTATTACCCAGCAATAATAACTAAAATTACGATTTAATTTTATTTCTTTCCTACTTAGATATTTCACAAAGAGATATTAACATTCGTGGAAAAATCTCACATAACCGTATATTCAAGCAGAAAGTATGACGGTCACCGTCAGAAAGGCTCACAGTATTCAATTATGCCACATAACTGATCAGTAGATTATTGCAAGGGGACGCAAAAAAAAAAGTCCCCATGTCCTCTAGGGGGCTCCGTAGGTTCATGATAGGTTTTTAGACATTCATTTTCCTGCCATGTTTTCCAGCAGGGCGCCCAGTTTCCAAACGGGAAGAGACTCGACACTTTCATCTGTGGTAACTACACTTCACTGAAATGCTTTTATCCCCTCCTTTCTCTTTTGTTTTTTTTGGCTGTCACAAAGCAATTGTCTGTGGCATTATTATTTTTATTTAATTTTTTTTCCCCTCACACCAGTTAAAAACTACGCATTACATCTTGTTTCATGTAACACAATCACTTTTCACACCTGGACACAGCCAGACCACACACGAAGCTAAAAACAGACACAGCAGGGCCACCCCTGGACAGGAGCGAGGAAGACCCTGTGCCAGAAACAAGCCCTCTGTGACCTCTGGTGTTTCCTGTGACCCCTTCCCCCCACTCTGTCATAATAAACCTGTCACTGTGCTGAAACCAGCCCTGTCTGTGCTGCATTTGTGTCGTGGGAGAGATGCATAAAACACATCCAAAATATCTTCACCTCAAAGACGCAACCTTCAATTAACTGGAAGGTTTAATAAATAAGTTTATATTATGCAAATTAAGGTACACACTCATTAGAGCAATTGTCATTATATAATCTTTTTAGCATGTACAGTTCCAAATATACAACTTCACTGAAATTTCAGACATTTTGGGGAAAAACTAACTTTAGAAGTTAGTTTTTCTCACAGCAGGTGAACAAATAGTCTGACAAAAGAAGACTTGACTCAGCACCTTGCAGGCTGCGTTCACCTAAGTTAAGAACTTACTTTCCAGAACATTCTCTGCTCGTTCAAAACTGAAATTCAAAAGCCTATCTTGCACAGAAAGTTTTCGAAGCGCATCCTCCAAACGTTAACATTCAAAGAACACCCGAGTTGGGCTGTTTTTCAGTTTACCAGTTCAGGAGGAGAAGTGGTTCCCAGTCCTGCGGGCACATTTACCAGCCGTGTTGGCCCTGCTCATCCGCCTCGGCGGCGAGGGACAGCAGGACGATCTTCGGAGAGTTCTCGAAAAGCGCAGCTCTGTTCTGAGTTTGGCCTTTCTTGACCCAGTGGCCGTAGATCTTGAAGGCGCATGCGTCGATAAGTTTGCGGATGGGCTTGACGGCGTACGGGTCGCTCTTTATCACCTCCTTGGTGACGGGTTTGGCGCGGCGGTAGTGGCAGTAGATGCGCATCGTGGCGAGCACAGTCATGCAGATGACCTGATGGAGAAACATAAAATAGCCACAAAAAAAGATCTTACCTCTGGGCTTTCCAGAGAAGATTTTACACAAAGCAATAGGATGAAACATTTTACAGGGGGATCTACTACTTATTTAACTGTGACGTGCAAATCAATCTTTGTACAGTAAGAATTGGAAATATTGTGGGTATTTTCAGTATTTCTTTACACTTCAGAATAAATCAAATTAAGTCTGTGGATTTTATTGTTGGCGTGATTTACACCCTTAGGGAAGGGATTAAATTCTGTGAATAAAGTGTATAACTAATGAGAACAGACGAGGAGATCATTCAGATGAAAAACAAATCTCAAAAATCTTCCAGTCCACAAGTTCATAAAATAGTTTGTTAAGGTAACCATTACCTCAGCATCTGTTTAATTTTAGCCTGTGGATCAATTCTCTCGAATCGGGCAAACTCTTCAAATGCTGGCAAACTATTTGGATTCCATTTGTCTGGAAATGTGACGTTTCCTTACCTTGAACCGCCTGTACGGACTGAACTGTCGCACCTCGTTCACCACATACTGGGAGAAAAACGTGTGGCTCAGAGCATCTGAAGCAGTGAACCGCTGCCTTGGATCCACCACCAGCATCCGGGAGATCTGAGCAAAGAGCGCCACGCCGCTTTCAGATTTTTAAAAGCTTATTGCAGGCAAAGACGAGCAAAGCAGACCTACCAGGTCTTTGACTGTGTCGGAGCGATCCTCCCACTCTGGAGACGAGAAGTCATAGCTCCCTGCTAAAATCATCCGCAGCATCAGCATCTGTTTCCTGTGCCAGAAAGGCGGAGAGCCGGCCAGCAGCGTGTACATGATCACACCAGCGCTCCATCTGTAAGCACAAACGCCAACGACGGGCGAATCTGAGACCTGGTTGAGCAGAAGCTATAGATCAGCTGTCTTAACCGAAGCTTCAATAACAGCATCAACAGAACAGAGACGGACGTGGCTCAGACCCTGGTGACTCACAGGTCAACAGGTGACTCACAGGTCAACAGCTGTACCGTATCCTTGGTGTCCTGCGTCCATGGAGCACTCGATGATCTCAGGAGCCAGGTAACCAGGCGTCCCACACACCTCTGCAATAATCACACGTTCAAACAGACGGAAACTTTTAAAAAATTGAGCACACTTCTTTCTGCTTTTTAAATACACTGCACTCTGCATCCGCAAGTATGTGTGCCGGTGAACGGGAGTCTTAAATGTTTAATAAAAGAAGTGCCCTCGTTTCAGAGCTGGGTAAAATGAACTGAATAATACCTGCTGTAGGAATTGAAGAGCAGTTGAAATCAGATACATTGTACAAAAAGACATGACCTTGTTCGCCCCCACGTCGACTTAAAATCAACATTTTGTGTTGATTTTATTTCCTAAATGCGGAAACTAGATTTGTTTAAACTTTTTCTTACAAAGTCACTCCTTCAAATAAATTTTTTTTAACTTAAACTATTTTTTGGCCCGTTGCTCCTGGTTTTACTGAATCGGTTTTGTATATTGCTCTGCTCAAACACACTTTCTCATCCTTATACAAGGAAACTGTCTAAATAAACTGCCTTTAATGGAGGTGGATAATTACTGGGTTCCTTAACCCAGTAATTATATCTTCTCATTATAATGAGAAGACTGATATATTTCAGCGCATATATTGTCCACCAACAATCTTATAAGCCTGATATTTATGGACTTCAAATGAGGGTAAAACATGTCATGTAAAACTTTACTTCCTATTATGATTGTAAATGTGACTAAACAATAAATAAATGTGACTAATAAAAAAAAAAATCCTTTCCAGGTAAATAAATAAGTTCCCAGTTATTAGTCATTATGCTCTTGTCTCAGCATTATTAACATTTTCATAATTGTATGATCAGTGATGACTGACCAATAATATTACCATCCTTTGAGTTATAAATATATATTGGTGATACATTTAGTGGGCGGTAGAGAACGTCTGCTGAGCCTCTAAATAGATTTGTTTTTGCAGTTCACCACTTGCATTATTTTGCATCAGCTTTACAAATGTATATGGGCAAAAAAAAGCATCTGCGGTTTTCTCTTACATTTTTGGATTTGAGAATGTGCCAGAACTCAAAAGTCAGGTTTAAGTCTTGACACTTTTCAGAGCGCGCTTTAGAGACGACGAGTCTCCACCCAAACCATTTACGCCCCGCAGCAGAGGAGCAGTTCATCAGAAACCTCCCTTGCCAGCTCCTGCTCCTAATGATCTTAAGCTTTCTGAGAAGTCTATTTAGAAAGCTCAGCGTACCGCGACCCTCTGCGGCGGTACGCGCTGTCCTGTGCTGTTCATAGCAGGAAGCACACTTTGCAACCAGATCCAGATTCACGCCCCCCGACCACCAACTGCTGCTGCGCTGACCAGCACACAGTGCAGGCAGCAAAGACAGCCAGAGCAGGAAGTGACACTGTCACTATTGTTGAACTCTGAGTCAAAGCTTGGAGCTGTCACTATGTCTGTTTTAAAAGGATTTATGTGCAGTAACTCAAAAGGTCATTTTGACGAGACGTCTGAGGTTTAAGTCGGTCCCTGTAGAAACCGCTCACTCACCTTTCAGCGTCTGTCCTGGCTGGATCTGCACAGCGAAGCCAAAATCTGTGAGTTTGATGTTCATATTGTCATCCAGCAGGATGTTCTCGGGTTTAAGGTCCCGATGGACGATGTTCTGGCCGTGAAGGAACTGGAGCACCTCCAGCAAAGCACGCATAATCTTTCTAACAGGAGAAACGCGTTAAGTCGTAAAATGTCTTCAAAAACATCACAATAACTAAGAAAACTCGCTTCCTGACCTGGCTTCTTTCTCTGTCAAGGTTACTTTCTCTGTGAGGTAGTCAAAAAGTTCCCCTTTCTTCATCCTGAGGGAAAGAGAATGAGACACTGGAGATGCTGCGGCCCATCTGATGTGTTAACCCGTCAATCCTGACACTTACAGGTCAAAAACCAGGAAAAAGAAGGCTTTGGACTCATAGCAGTCTTTCAGCTGTACTGGAGATGAGAATTCAGTTCATCAGTGGATCAGCTAAATGTCATCGGACAAAGGTCAAAAAAATCAAAAATCTTTCCAGGAATAAGAAAAAGTGCTTACTGATGTTTTCCTGCCCGCAAACTTTCCTAAGGATGTCGATCTCCTTCACTGTCGCTTCCCGGATCTCCTCGATCTCCTGCGGAGTCATTTTGTCAGACGGGGTGATATCAATGATCTTGACGGCATATTCCTGGTCCGTGCGCTTGTCCACGCAGCGACGGACCACACTGCTCACTCCCCTGTCGAACGAAGAGAGGAAACATCGACTTGTGTGGGAACTTGACCGATATCTGAGCAGAAACTTCTCACATCTGTTCACTTCAGTTGGAACTCCGGTTTCATACGATAATTTAGGCTCTTGTCCGCCTTTGAGCATTCATTTGCACACACAAATGAATTGAAACTGTAGTAGTATTCTGATTAAATTGATTCTATTCAACGGTTGAGTCTCAAGAGTTGGACCTGCTGAAACTAAACCCCGACTGTCAATGAACAGAATGTCCTCACTACCAGCGACCTGCTGACCTGTATGTGAGAAATGCATTGGAGTTATGTAATGACCCGGCATGACTGCCATCGCCGAAACCCTCTTAGAGCTGAAACCTTTGTCCACAACACGCCGAAGTCAATGAATGCTGCCTCCTGCACGCCGAGTCTTGCGTAACGTCTGACAGGCGGCGGGAATGACAATGAGCAACTCTGGGTTTCGTGGCAATTCACCAGAAACTCATGCACAGCCACAAACTTAAAAAGTGCGAAGGAAACAAAAAGAAAGGGATCCATGGCCAAATAAAAACCTGAAAAGAGGGGTGTGCATGCAGTGATCTAAAAGAAACAAGCAAAAAAAAAAAAAAAAAACTATTCACACCCTGAGAAATTTTCTACACATTGTGTTTTTGCTTTTTTTTTTCCCTGCACCTACATGTTTTTAACGCTCAAACAAGTTAGATAGTCAAACACAGATAAGGTTAAAACAAAATGCAGTTTTCAAATTATGCTTTAAGTTATTAGATCTGAACTGGTCTTCCTCTAAAATATAATTTACCTTCCTGTTAAATTAGTATAAATCTTTGATCAATAGTAATTTTGGCTCAATAATGCACTAATGCAAGCCTACAAAGAGATAAACTCACTCTCTGGGCAAGAAGTGTGGAAAACGCTCTGTAAATTTAATATTTGTGGAAAATTAATCTGAAGAATGCCATTGTTGAACTGAGCCTTTTTGCTGTAGAGGAAACGGCATGACTCTCGTCAAATAAGTCCAAAACTAAACTTTTCAGATTAACTGTAAAACACTACATGTTTGTTTTGCAGTCAGTGACACCCTGAACTCACCTGAACTCACCTGAACTCACCTGAACTCACCTGAACTCACCTTCCTCATTATGAAACACTGTGCTGGCAGCATCATGCTATGGTGATGCATATGCCTATAATGCACACATACTCAGTTACATGCATCATTGCACGTCCTGCAGATCTGTTCAAAATGACTGAATAGTCTGTACAGCTTGCACCCGAGTTTGATGGAGTCCAACTAATGACCTGCGTTTTTGACTGAGGTGTGTTGAAGCAGAGACAAATAAAAGTTGTAGGCCATCAGGCGGCAAGGACTCCAAGGAGATCCTTGGCTTAGTTCACAGCGTATTTATATGGACTGACATTCACAAAGTCCAGCCTTCAAGCTAACTCAGTCTGTTGAGAACCTATTTTTGAATCCCTGTATTTATCATATTAAATCTTAATATGGTGCATGAGGTGAAATGTACTGCTAACTATACTTTACGGCTCCTGAGAAGAGCAGGATAAATGTTTCCAGGCAAACGGTGTGATTGTAGCAACCCAAATAAGGATGGAAAAGACAATTTTACCTTATGAGTCTTTAAAAAAAAAAAAAGAAAACACAACAAAGTCCCTGAAGGGCAGAACGTGTCTGAACCTATGTCTCACATACCTGCCCAGAATCTCCTTGGGGTCGTACTTGTCGTAGAACTCCTTGGCTCCCACCCAGTCCGGGATCTCCTCCTCTTTGGTCATGGTGGAGCAACGCTGGTTCACTTCCAAATGTGTGTACAGCTGTTTTTTCCTCTTATAGCTCACAGCAGGAAACACACAACGCTCAAAACAACACTGGCACAACGCAGGCGGTTCTCAAGTTGATCTGAGTGTCAGAGGACTTTTAACGAGTAATTCCTAGGGCTGGACAACATATACAGGGACAAGGAGGTAGGCAAAGGAAGTGCTTTAGTCTCTAAGCCTTAGTAAGGTTGGTGGCATCAACTCACTCGCTGTCCGGTCACTAGGCAACAACTTGTTGAGCAACACACACTCGTGGCTTGGCTTTGCCACCTTAACTGCTGCAGACCTGCACACCTGTCCTGTGGATAAAACAGAAAAGATCCATAATTATCTATAAGGCTGATATTAAATATATGTCGTGAGATGTTTTTCAGTCATATCGTCCATCTCTAGCAATTCATTACTTCCTGTTTCTGTGATGGACTGACCATCTGTCCAGGGTGCTCACTTCTCGTCCTTTAAGATTAAATAGGCATGTAGTGGCTGTGGTGGGTCAGTGACTTCCTATTTCCTTTGCTATAAATGTGACAAGCACGGCCTGATTTTCTTTGCTACTCTTCTAAATAGGAAAGGATTGAGAGTATTTCAATCAAGCCCAGAGACTGGATGCTAAAGGGGGACTTTGGAGGAGGTCAGCAAGTTTCCTTAACCACTAGATGCTGTCTACAAGCCAGGGATAGGATTTAATTGTCCTACTCTCACTTATAAACATAGGGAGTTTGCTAAATGAGGAAAGGATTTGCTGTACAACTGCATGCAGTAGTCGGATGATACCAAGGGTGAGACTTTAGGATGCAAGCACTCCAAAATGGGACTGGCACAAAAACAAGGGCTTGATGAAAATGCATTTAATCAAAGGACATTTAGATACAGATCTCTTTCTTCCAGAAAACTGGAAATGGGCCATCATCAGTTGTTCAGAAGCAGGATACTCTGAACAAACAATTCATGGTCAAATAAAGACAGCAATGATTCACCAAAACCATTTTTCCTCCCTGGCCATATCTGTCCTCAGATCTAAATCCTTCAGAAAGATGGAGGGTGAGCTGATAAAAACTTGGGACTCACGAATCCAGACGAGTGACTGTGACCAGGAAAGTCAGATGTCATTCTTTGATAATACATACAAAGTAATATTTTTGCCCATTGAATTAAAGCACTTCAAATGAAAAGCTGTTCTTGATTTTTCATTGCGTGATTACGCTTCTCTTTAAAATCAGATCCTTTTAGTATCTTCATTTATCCATCTCCAGTAAAGCCAAACTTTGCTTACTCACCGCGTCTTTCAGCTGCTCCAGAGGAACTCTGTGCTCAAACTGGACGTCCTTCCACAAAGCGTAAAATCAGTCACAAAGAAATCCAGTCAGACCCCAGCGCTACGGAATAGGATTGCTGGTCCCATGTTATAAAGGTTGAGCTTTAATGTCAAATGCCAAAAATAAATGGGTTCTTCCGTAGCAGCAGCAGCAGCAGCAGCTCAGCACATGCACACAGTAGAGATCCCCAAACTCACACCCAGCAGCTTCTTCTCCCACAGCTGTGGACACTTTGAATCACTTCCCATGTTCAGTTTGTGGTCTGCACTGAGATTAGAGTGAAGTGACAGGTGCTGCAGCCCTGAGGTATCCCTGCTTTGAAGCTCCTAAATCTAATTGAAGAGTGTGACAGATAAGAATAGAAACATTTCAGCGTAGTGTAATGTAGTCTGACTGAGGAGGCAGTGAAATAAAACACAGCGACATTATCATCCAAGAGCTTTATTCGTTTTCTTGTTACAACCAAACCATTAAGATGAGAACGAGGAGCTTTATTCTACATATCCGGCGTTATTTGAGATTTTATAATGAAAGCACTGCTAATGAAAAGCCCTGTTCAAATTACACTCAACACAAAAAATGACACCAAAATATATAAACACTATTTATAAGACTATCATTACAAACTCTGCAGCAGTGTTCTCACAGCAAAGTAATGTTGCCCAAAGTCAATTATTTGAATAAAGCATGTTTATTGATTGATTTATTGATCCCTTATAGATTACACCCCACTAGAATCCGATGAGCAGACATGTGATTTCAAATCTGCAGGACTTTGTCTTTGTCTCCATCTCAAGAAAAACCTAAAGAGAAAGAGAAAAGTTCAATGAGAGGTGTGTTCTACTGTGTCAATAATAACAGCAAATATTCTTCTACACATTATGGGAAATACAATAAGCATTTAGGAACCACTCAGAATACCGGGAATGAGGCTTAAAAAGTCACACTACTCCCCCTGGTGGTTATATTGAGTAATGCAGTCAATACTGCACAGTCATCCCCAGTCCTATTTTACTTTCTCAAACTTCTCTTCTCATTTTCTTTTCCCCCCATCAAAAAACAAAAAACAACAAAAGATGCATTTTTAATTACTGCACAATCTCAAAGTAAACTTCTAATGTGACAATTGTGCAACAAACTTTGCAGGTGTTCAGTGTTGTATTCAATCATTTTAATGAAAAGTTGAGTGGAAGCTAAAGGTTTGAATAAAAACTTTATTCCTGTATAAAAGCAACAGAAACACTGGTAGCAGAGGTTTTTGAAGCAAAGCAGTTTAAAGAGTTTGGAGGCGATTCATAAGATCTGGACTGTGGCCGGACTCAGAGCTTCAAGCGCCACCAAACACATATGCAAAGTAGAACTGTCACGTTCTTCGTATTAAAGTCACTTCTAAACTACAGCCAATATCAGAAGCGCCTTAATTAGACTAAGGAGATAAAGGATTGAGTCTCCAGAGACAGAAATAGGATATCTGGAAGAAAATAATAAGAGCACCTCATGCTTCCCTCTGTCAAGCTTTGAAGAGATGCTGATTTCTTTTTTCAAGAGGACTTGAGAAAAGAAATCACTAAAAGCATCTGAACATTCAAACTACTAAAAGCATCTGACCATTGGGTTTTGATTGGTCAACATTGTTGGGGTGACCTCAAACTGTCAAGAGGAAGATGAATGACAACTAAAAGTTAACCACGCAGAAGAGCTGAAGGTCACATAAAAGCAACCTGGACTTCCTCAACACCTCAGCAGAACTTCATGCCACCCTGCATTATACATGCAAAAGGAACCTAAACCAGTTTCAGCCTGTACGTCCAGTACACAATGTATTAAAATTTGATTTCCGAATCTCACGCAGGAGGAAAAGGAAAAGCAGGAGGCTTGGATTTTATTGAAGAATCTAATTTTATTTTAAATATATCATATAAAAGCATTTAGCATTGAAATTATGCACCGGTAAGGAGATGAAACTTGAAATTGACCGGTTTAAAAAAAATAGAAGTTAAAAAATGATAAAGCTACATGGCAAACAGATTCAGATGTAACCAGAATTTGTTTTATTTATTGTATTTTTTGCATATGTACACTTACCACTAGCAGACCTGCACTGTTTGAGTACCTCGCTGAATCCCTCACAGAGCTTCAGGTCACTCTGGTTCTGAGCACATTCCAGGAACTGCTTGAGTTCGTAGGAGCAGACCTCCTGCTGCTGCTGCTGCTGCTGCTGGCCTGCTTGCTGCTGGTACGGCTCCTATGGACAGAAACCACATGAAGATGTCTCTGACAGATCCACTGAATATGTAGAAAGCAACTTTTTGTATCTGCAGTTCCTCCCAGAGATATAATTCTTACAGTACAAAGTGTAAAACAGAAGTCAGGCTTACATGTGTTCCACTTAACATGTTTATCTCATTACAAGCAATACTTCCAGGCTGCATTTAATATATTTTCCTGTTTCTGTTGTCAACTGTGCTTCTTTTTCTTTTAATTTTGCTTCTGCATTCACCTTTACACTTCATGTTTTGTTATTTGCACTTACATATTTTAGCTTTTAAACATTTCTATACATATAAATGCAAAGAAGTTTAATTCTGGTGTATGAACTCGACTGCTCGATTTGAACTGACTCCACTGTTTTCAGGTTGGACTCTTTAAAGAGGTCATTCTTGCTCAAAGTACTGAATCTTTATCGTCTCTTTACCGATCCAAACAAGAGCTTTAGCTGTCATGTGCACTTCATCAGCACTCTTTACTGGACCTGTGATTAAAGTCCTGCCAGCTGTCTGGTAAACAAAATAATCTTCTCTAACACAATCCTGGTCTTCCAGCAGGCTGTTCGTCGATTTACCTGGTACGTGACGTCAGGACTGGCAGCCTCAGAGCGTCCTCCGCCAAAGGCTCCGGTCATGGCGTGGCCGATGGTGTGTCCCACGGCAGAGCCCACCGCCACACCGGCGGCTGTCGATGCCATCTGTGCGAACAAACCTGGCTGTCTGGGCGCTGCGGCCGGAGCGCCCACTGCAGACGGAGCGGCCTGCATGGGGACAGGCGCGTGAGATGGTGCACTAGCCATTGGTGGAGGTGATGGTGGTGCCCGGCTGTGGAAAGCAAAGTTCAGTTTAAGAGGTCAATTAACAAGAGGCCAAACTTAATAGTGCAAAACTTTTTTTTTTTCTAGCAATGTTAAAAGTTAAATCTGCACCACTGTGGAGTAATAAACTAATATTAAATATGGGGTTTAATAATACAGGGGCCAATTCAGAAATTGTTTTTCCCATTTGGAAAAAAAAAACAATTTACAAACTACACAACAGCGCAGCCTGGTGTGTAAGGTCACTGACTTGGAAGTTTATTCAACTGTTTATATCCAAAACAATGTTACCTCAGTTTCAGATACAACCAGTATCTTGGGTGAAATGTCTATATGCGTTTATATTCCAAGTATAAACCTTATTTAAGTATAGAATACAAACTGGGAGAGAATACAGCTGCTTTGCTGGTTTAAATGGAAATGTTCTTTGCTGTAATAAGACATTTTAGCGCAGTGTGACCTTCAGGCGATGACGTCTGGAACAACGTCTCTGGTTAAAACATATAAATACCCAAATGTCGCTTTATATCACTGACAGCAGTAAATCTCATCAAGGTTCCTGGCTCAGTCTCTGTCTGACACTCGACACTGTTACCGTTACCTCAATGTTAGCATGCGGGCTAACTGCTAACTCGCGCCCCACATTCAGACGGTTTCAACAACTTCTGACAACAACACATGTATATCGTCACCTGGCGGGAGGGCTCATCCTGGCGGGCCGGCTTCTGCTTCCTCGGGGCATTTTCAGTAGCTAGGTTTGTTTCACTGTCACCGTGAGAAAAGACCGACGCAACTCTGAGCAGCAACGACACGCGCTCGCAGTTTTATCTCGACCTTTAGTTAATCCGGAACTTTCCATGTGTTACATCAGCTATCCTCCGGGTGACTTCCGGTGCCTCAAAAACAATTGTATAACTCACAAATGATAAGTTAATGGCTTGGAAGGACTATTTGGGTCTCATTTTATTTGTTTTATAAGTATCCTTCGACAAACGCGTAAACTTTCAAACACTTTGAAGAGGGTTATTTTATCTATAACATGCAGGAACCTTTGTTGGTCAGAAAATTTGACAAAATAGGGCAAAGAGAATTTAAGGTCAAGTAAAGGTGGACTGATATGGGTTGGTAAAGGATGAAGCTGGTGCCAATATTTCATAGCAGTTAATCCTCAATACACCAGGGTGGATATTACTATTAACTAATCCTGTGAAATGGGACCAATAATCACCATAGTTCCAATATTTTGGAAAAACAGAAGTAGAAACAGTATCAAGACAGGTTAAAAATAGTTGATATGTTGGAAACACGAGAACGAGTCACAGAAACAACAAAACTAATCTGTTTTCAAGTTTATTCTTAAACTCATCTGCAAATATGGAAAACCAACAGATAAAGAAGATATGGCTTATTTATCTCTCAAAGGAAAAAAATCTTACAGAAATATCTGATCATAAACCAGAACATGTAATAATTATACACTTTACAGTACTTCAGAAATGTACTCAATGATGTATGTACAAAATTATGAATAATTAAAAAATTATTAACTCATAGCTCACAAAAAAGAAAAATCATACTATCAAATAACACCTAAAAAGAGGGCTACTCCTTTTTCCCTTTCTTTTTCCGGTAGTTATGTTGGTGTCCACCTCCTCTTCTTCCTCTGTTTCCTTGTGTTCTTCGTTCTCCCCATGTTGGCATAGGAGGCTCAATCTCCCCAGGCCGGCCTCCCCTGTCTGGGACGCTGCCCATTAACATCTAGTGAGAATAACATCAGATGTTAAACAAAATAAATAAAGATGGTTTCACCTATGAAAATATGTCCACAGCTCCACCTTGTAGACGGCGGTGCTCTTCCCAGCTTTTATTGGTTCAATGAAGGACTGATCTTCTCTGGTAGCCAGCAGGAGTGATGGAGACACTTGGGAGGATCCAGTGAGGGACACCAGAGATGGCACCGAGTCCAGAGCAGCTCTGCGCTCCTGCAAACAAATAGCTATTAAACCAGGGAAGTTTATGTCTACGCATCTCTAGTGAGATCATTAATTAAAGCTAACATGTTTTAGACGTGTTCAGGTGGTAGAGAGTAATCCAATAGTTTGAGACATTTGGAGCCCATTCCCAGGAAGAAATGGTATGTCAGGCTTGATGTGCCACCTTTAGCTCCAA